ATAATAATAATAAGTTATATCAGATTTTTTTTTTTAAAAATTATGCTAGATTTTCTGCATTTTCATCAAATTCATCTAACGTTTGATTTGGATATGATTTTGATATTTGACATCCAAAAAATACTCTTACCTTTAAAATATTCTAAAGTACCAAAGCTCCTAAAATATAACATTGCTATGTTAGATACCAAATAAGTAGTGATGAGAGTTGTCACTGTCGAATCTCAGTCTACAACTAAAGAAGTGCCAATTTTCTTGGTGATTGTGTCATATTGTGAGTTTTGAATCCACAAAGTTCGACGTAGAGACCACACAAATTGAGTAGGATTGGAGAGCTCTAGTGTCATGACTATCTCCAAAGAACACCTTCCTAATTTCAATCATCACTACTTATACTATTTGCAACCAACCCTTTGCAGGAAGTGCTTTGATCATAAGTAACAATGGAGCCAGTGGGATTTACCCTGGCAGCACTGACCTTGCTTACCAGCAAGCAGTAGATGATGGGGCCGACATAATAGACTGCTCAGTGCAATTGTCCAAAGATGGAGTGCCATTCTGCTTAGCAAGCGCCGACCTCGCAGGAGACACCACTGCCATGATGCCCTTCATTGACAAAAAAGACACCATCCCTGAAATTCAACCAGAAATTGGAGTGTTTTCATTTGCACTAACATGGAGCGAGATTCAAACCTTGAAGCGTAAACTTCTTTTTCTATGACTTCCCTGAGAATGCTAATCTTGCTTATAGTGACCTTCTGTTGTCTGAAAATCTCAGCAGTTCTGCACTTTTCATTGTTTTTTCAGCACAACTGGTCAGTCCTTTTGCAAATAGTAGCATTCTAAGGAACCCAGCAAACAAGAACTTGGGTAAATTCGTGACGCTCACCGAGTTTCTGGACTTTGCCAAGGCAAAAGCAGTTTCTGGAATTCTGATCAACATTGAGGTACATTCTCTCATTTGTTCTTTTTTTCAATTCAAATAATTTTGAGTACAAATTTGTGCACATGAACAAGCATTAGTGTATGAAAAATAGCTAAATAGCTAACATTACAGGGGGTGACCATTACAACTAGCATTTTACATTAGTCACAAATTGTGACATATATATATATATATATATATATATATATGCAATTGGTTAAAACTGAAAGTTATGAATAACATTGCTCTTAGAAGACTGGTTGGTAATTTCTATTCTTGCGACATTTTCATGTCAAACCGTGCAAGTGTGTCCTTGCGCAAGCCCTTCCATTAACATTTGAATCTGTGATTGATTAAAAAGCAATAATTGACCTGATCGGTATTTAAACTGACAAAAATCTTACATACTCCTCCTTCCCTCAGAATGCTGCCTACCTGGCATCAAAGCAAGGTCTTGACATAGTAGGAGCAGTAGCAACTGCCTTGACCAACGCCACTTTCGACAAGCAATCGACTCAACAAGTTCTGATCCAATCAGATGACACTTCAGTTCTATCCAAGTTCAAGGATGTCCCAACTTACAAAAGAGTGTTGCGGATCAAGGAGAAGATCGGGGACGCTCCTAAGCCCTCGGTGGATGAGATCAAGAAGTACGCAGATGCAGTCACTGTACCGAGAAGCGCCATTATAAAAGTCAGCGATTTCTTCACCGTGGCGTTGACCAATGTGGTCAAGGAAATGCACGCTGCAAACCTTTCTGTGTATGTGAATGAGCTGAGAAATGAGTACGTGACTCTGGCTTTTGATTACTTCAGCGACCCAATTGTGGAGATTGCTACTTATGTTCAAGTGGTTGAGGTTGATGGCTTCATGACTGATTATCCCGGAACTGCCAGTAAATATATGAGTAAGTTTTGCACCCTCTGGACCGAACAGTTCCACTATTGTCCAAATTCATGAAGTTTAAAAGGGTATGTTTTCAATTGGTAATGGTCCAAGTAGTATTGGGATTAGATTACGCAGGAGCTGAGAGGGAAAAACAAATAAATTCAGAATATGAAGATCAGTGTTACTAAAATCACCAGCAGAATAAATTTAAGTCAATGTAATGTTTTACTAAGAAATAAGACGCAAAATGACATTGATATTAACTATTTATAAAGGTAGATTTTGCTAAAGACTCTTGGATTTGCAACTTTAATTCCAGATTCGATCACCAAATGACATCCCATTGGAAAAGCAACACATTTATGCTTTCATACTCAATGATAAACGCATGAACTTGAGACTGAGCAATACTATAAAGCATCCTGATACTAAATTATGACTTGCATTGGCTAACAATTATTGAATTACACTATAATACTAATCAATACTTGCTACCTTGAATTATAACTTGATTGGTAAGATATTATGCTTGTCAAACAATTTGACGTATTGCTTTGTTTTGGATTTGCACTTTGCAGGATGCCCATGCACAGATACAGATCCAAAAGCCAATGTCCCATATCCAATATTGCCAGCAGAACCTGGTTCTCTACTTAGCTTGATCCCACCAGAAATACAGCCACCAGCTGCAGCACCTGCTGCGCCTCTTCTAGTTAAAGACATTGTGGACCCGCCACTTCCTCCGGTGGCCAAAATCAAACAGGGCGCAGATGCACCCGCCACAACAACCCCATCAAGCGCTTTGGCAAATGCTGCAAACGAAGTCCTTTCCCTTGTGGCTATAATGGTGCTTGGTTTGCTCTCTTTGGGATGTTAAGATTCAATTGCTTGGAGATGTATGTATTCACTCAATCAATACTTTTTTTTTCACCTATGTTTCCCAATTTGTGTCCTGCTTTATGTCTGTACAATTAGTAAACACTTGAATTAGCTTATACCATGTGCGATTTATTTATGTAGCAATCCATTATCAATGGTTTTGGTCCACAAAGCTTGCTCAGTAGTTGAATGGGATGAGACAAGTTTTCGATTCTGATAAGAAATGATTCCAGTGCATTGTTAAGGACTCATTTTTAAGACCAATATAGCTAAAGCAACTTCTTAATAACGCATTTATCAATACAATCTCGTTTCTTTTACTGAGTTTCTAAGGAGTTGTTTAGTTAGAAGATTCATACCTGATTCGAATCATAGTTCGTAATTCACTGTAGTATTTTTTTTATAAACAATACACGTAAATTGAAAATGATTCTAATATCATGATTCTTTTTCCATTTCATGGGTTATCCATTATTTACTTGGAGTGGATATTGGGAGTTGACTAAGTTCAGAGTTAATTTCTATACCGGAACCAACCTGTGATTCAAGTTTTCAATTCGAGCTGAGACATAATATTTTTTGAGAGTTTTTCACTGTAATAAAAAAAGTTAGATGTGACAAAACTGAAAACTCGAATCGGTAAAATAAACGAGACTTTAGTAAACACTAGACACTCAGCTTGTACCACGATAGATTTATTCAAATAGCAACCTCTTATCAAAGTTTTCGGTTCAAAGCTTACCTCAATTTTTTCAATTCTGATAAGAATTATTCCAATTCAGTGTAAACAGATTTTCATATGCATCAACACAACAGAATTTGACATGTAAAAATCAATTAAGACCTGAACCAACAGCTATCATTACTTCTCAATTATGCATCTATAATTTAACCTCTTTTCAGCTGCTGGGTTTCTATTTTCCTTAAGCAAATAGGCATTTTGTTCTCTTTCCATTTTTTGGGTTTTAAAAAACAAAAGAAAAATTATTTTAATGCAAAAATAAAAGACGGTTGAAGAAATTGGAGAGGTTCAGATTCACCTTTTCTCAGACAGATAGATAGAGAGAGAGAGGCGACGCAGCTACCAGTGGCTGCGACCGACCACCGGCGGCCGCACGGAGAAGGACAGCATCGTCTTTCTCCGGCGAAGCAAACCGGGTCGACCCGCCAGGCAACCGGATCCTTCCTCTCCCACTGCCTGCTTTTCAGTCTGAAAACATCATCACAGCCTCGAATTAGGGTTTGGGATTTAGGGCTTAGCCCCATACATACATACATACATATATGCACAACAAAGAAAGAGAAAGAGAAAGATAGCGAGAGAATCAGCAAAAACACATTGGATGCCATTGCAATTCTTCCAATTTATTTATTTATTTATTTATGGGAAAAACCCAGAAATACCATTAAAGATGAGAAAAGTACATGGGTTGCTTTGGGCTGAGAAAGGGAGAGGAGGAACAGTAAATCATCGGTTCTGCTACGATCAGAGACAAGCGAGCGGAAAGGGCGGCCAATAGCCATTGTTACGGATAGACCAAACCCTAAATCCGCCGATTTTCTCCAAGAGCAAAACCTCATTCTTAAACTAATGAGCCTCTCTGAATCCATGCCTGATCGAACTCTATTTATCGCGTCATGCGTTTGGTTTTGGGCTTCTTGTACAGACACCCCTTTAGCTTTTTGAATTTAGCAATTTGATTCTTATTTATTTTTTTAGCAATTAGTCCCAACTTTTAAATCTTTACGATTAAGGTCCAATTGAAAATGATGTTTATTTTCTTAATGATTCTGATCGTCTGATGCGCACGAGAGCATTTGTTTACGAAGGTCATCTCTCACCCTATGTGTTCAATTTTATTAATTTTAGATTCATTTAATGTGTCAGAACACAATTAATTTTAATAAATAATTCTTAATTTTTAAGAGTTATTGTCCGTAACAAACGTTATAAAGGTGAGAAATGACCATTATTACCCACAACAGACGCTCACATATGTTTCACATGATCAGAATCATAACAACAAATGTTATTTTTAATTAGATCTTAATGGTAAAGATTTTTAAGTTTAAGACCAATTGTCAAAATAAGAATATAAACCAAATTCAAAAAGTTAAAAGGGTATTTATACAAAAAAGCCTTTGGTTTTGTGGCATTGTAGGAGGGCAGAATAGGAATGTGGAAATATTGGGGGTTAATATGATAAACATAAATATGAATATATATATAATATATATATATATATATATTTCCCTAATTCAATGTTTTTAATAGAACTAGTGAAGCAACGTGCAAAGCACGCGGAGTTAATAATAAAAATTAATAGTGTTACATTTTATAATTATTGTTAAGTGTTAATTCAAAAGTATTTTTAGGTTTTTGAGTTATTTTTAAAGTAATAATAGTTATTAGCCATGCACTCAGCGCATGTGACGATAGCAACGGGACGATGGGCCGGTTTTGAGACGGAGTGGTCTTTTCATCAACCCTTTTTTGAATAGAAACACTCGTTATCTTTATTCGATTAACACATGAATAAATTTGATAGATACGGAACAGGCTTTTCTGTCATAAATTTGATATAGATACTCATGGTGTTCCAAAAAAAAAAAAAAATTTAATTAATTGATACAACTATACAAAACTTTAACCTAAAAATAAAGAAATGTCTACAAAAACTTTAAGCTAAAAGTATACTCGTGGGCAATATAGTAATATAGCATCAATTAAATACAAAAACGTTAATTTAGTAAAGGAAATGTCTAATAGGAACGACAAGTATCTGTTTTCATTTAAGATGTAGAATGTAGGTGAAATAAGTGAAGCAATGACGTATTAACATTAGGCCCCGTTCGTTTGCCCCAACTTACTCAAGAAAGGCCCACTTGAGTGCTGAAATTGGCCCAAGTTTACGTTCGGTGTTTGAGAACTTGAATTCGAACTCGAAAATTAATTCGAGTTACCAACCCATTTCTGAGTTGCACTCTCCACTGCTATTCTAGTTACTTCTCTGCACTTCTACAGTGCAGATTCTGAGATCTGCTTCTTCCTACACTGCCGTTTCACGTGGTTCTCCTGTAAGCGATATTCTCTGGAATTCTTCTCGCTTACCGTTCGACCAACAGCCACGATCTGCTCCTTCAACGTTATACCATTCGATTTCTGAGAGCTGTGCGTTGTTGAATCACTATTTTCCCCCAATCTCATATTTCAACCCTAGCCCACAATTTCGGTTCCCATCTTCATCTTTTGTGCCCCCCTCCCCCCGCCATTGTCATCGTTCTTGTTTCCCCTTCAAAACGGGGAAATTTGTGGGGACTCCGTTGGTTCGGCGACCTCGGTGGGTGAACATCGTACTTTGATGTAGAGGCAACAGTGCGCGCCGTAAAGCTCTCCAGCCGAGACGTCAAACCTACTTCCCCTACCTCTGTCGTCGCCGGTACCTCAGACTTGCTAACCCTTCCTCGCGTTTGGGGAGTCTCCAAGGGAACCAAATCTCCTCCTCCATAGGCTCCAATTCGGTAAGTATTTCTCAAAGGCTTATGTTCAGTTTATGGAAAAACTCATTTCAGTTTTGAATGATTTTTCGGTCTCTAGTTTGCATTCCGAGCACTAGTATTTTGGTGAATTCATTATGTTCTATGAAAACAAACATTGCCATTTCTGGAATTTTTTTGGTGACTTCAATCTCTAGACTTCATCGGAGCACTAGGTTTTACCCCTGTTTGTTCAGTTTTTTTTTTAAAAAAAAAAAAAAAAAAAAAAAAAAAAAAAAAAAAAACAGAAACTGTTTCTGGTGATTTCAAAGTTTTTGCATTCGTAGAACTAGTATTTTGGTGAAATCACATGACTTTTGAACTTTAATGAAATTAGTCACATATATTGTGTGATAACATGAAATTTTATCATGCAAATCTTTACTGTCTTCCAAAATCCTCTAAAATCCTTAAAAATCATGATATTCTCAAGTACCCTAAATTTGAGGACTAGGGACTAAAGCTGCTAGGAAAAGAAATTCTTTAGGCTAACCGGCCGAAGAAAAAAGTTTAAAAAAACAAACCGTCACACTTCAATTTAGGAACAGAGAGTGCCAAAAACTCTTAACATAATTTAGGTACACTTGGAAGTATAAAAAGTTACCTAGATTCTTCAACTCCTCTTTGTTGCTCTATATCAGAAAGAGTGAAACCATCTCCTTGAGTCAGATAATGATATCTGTAATGCCCAAAGAGTAACAAAAGATTGAGAAAAGACCCAATGTCATAACCAACAATCCACATCCTCATAGGCCAAACTGGCCTCTCCTTCTTGGATATGGCCAGAGTAATCGTTGTGATGCTAGTTGAACAAGCAAAGCGTTTCTGGTGATTTTTTTGGTGATTTCAGCCTCTAGACACTCGGCTCACTAGTATTTTAGAACCCCATTTTGTTCAGTTTCTGGAAAAAAAAAAAAAAAACAGAACTAGACTTCACAATATATAAACAGACTTCATCGGCTCACTGGTATAGAAACGGTTTCTATAATTGCATTCTTAGAACTAGTATTTTGGTAAAAGCTATTGATAGTTTGTCGGAAAAAAACATTATATGGTTTCTGGTGATTTTTTTGGTGATTTCAACCTCTAGATACTCGGCTCACTAGTATTTGGGAACCATTTTTTGTGCAGTTTCTAGAAAAAACCAGAAACTGTTTCTTATTTTTTTAGTTTCTAGATTGCATTTCATCATGGCTATGACGATGTAATGTATTTAATGGCCTAGTTCATTATGTCGAGTGCTATTCGATGGTTGGTTAATAATTGGTTGCCGGTTGATCCCATTAGTCTTAGTTGGTATGGTTGATTTAATTCACTTTGAATCCCACGGTATCAGATTATTTCACAAAAGTACTTGAAGCGGTTTGCCAATTAAAAGTAGACTTCATACGGCATCCAGATTTTACTGCCGTCGATCCTCACATAATTGCAGGTGGGAACAAGTATTCGCCGTGGTCCGATGTAAGTTACGAACTTATACA